CCTGTCGGCTCAATTTTATGGAACCCCATTCCAGTTGAGGTCATAGAATTGTAGAGTTGGAAGGTACCCGGGGGTCATCTAGTCCAACCCCTCGCAATGCAGTAATCTTTTTGCCCACCATGGGGCTCAAACCCACGACTCAGAGGTTAAGGGTCTCATGCTCTACCAACTGAGCTACCCCAGGTCAAACTGTTCCCCTCCCTTTTGAACTTTTAGCACCTTCTGAATCCTTTATTATTATTATTTTCCAGCAGACATTTTAATAGGATTATGATTTTATAACTTTAACTGATATTTATTTGCATTGTGCTGAGTTTCTTGTACGCTGCTTAGAAACGATTGTTAATTGAGCAGTATATGAATTGCCCAAGTAAATATTTTTGTGTGTGGGTGGGATCCAGAGAACTGTGATCAGAAGGAAGATGGCTGCTAGCACTGTTCTGCAGGTTGTAGCACAAAAGGCTTCTGGACTTTGGTATGACAGTACTTATAAGAGGACGTTGTTAGTGGCACTAAAAGAATGGTGGCAGTATATCGCGATATAAGGGATTGTTATTTCTGATGTACCACCTGATCAGTGGCTTGGATTTACACTAGTTAACCAGCAACTGTTGTTCTTGCCCAGAGCCTTCCTTCCCATTGGTCTTAGTGGTTCATTGCGCCAGGGCGCCGGCCTCTCAGCGGCGCCCTAGCGAGTGGGAGAGCTGTGCGGCTTTGCTGGCAGCCTCCCCTTTCCCTGCACCCCTGCCAGCTGTGCCCCACCAACTATATGGCTGGCGGGCATGCAGTTTCCTTCCCAAGCCTCCACAGGAGGAGAGCGATCCCTGCAGAGGCCTGGCAAAAGGCGGTGCACAGCCTTCTTGGGCGGCCCCAACACCAGAGAGCATGTCCGCCAGCACGTTTTCCTGCTTGATCACCACCACCACGCCGGGGATCAGGGTGGTGGGGGAGGCAGAGGACATTTTCCACCGCCCCCTCCCTTGTTTTGGAGTTGCCCGGGGGGGGGCGCTGGAAGGATCTTTGCACCACGGCGCCGGATATGCTTCAGACGGCCCTGTTCCTGCCTGCCCTTGATGAGCTGTGTCCTTAATCTACACAATCGAATCAGGTTTCCACTCTTCTCCTGCGCATGTACACACACACACACACACACACACACACTTACACTTTCCCCCTCTTGCTTTCCATGGGGACTTCTGAAATTAATTGCCGCAGCCGCCTCTGACAGTCAAATATTTCTTATGGCTACAGGCCATAAATTGATCATCTGCATACGATATGATATGGAACTGGTGTTTGTGTGTATTTGCATGCGTATATCTTTGTTTCCTTCTTTTTCTGCAAAAAGAGGGGTCCTTTGTGTCTGTGCAAGGGAAGAGGGTAATAGGAAGAGCGCCAGAATTAGCTGGATCTGTATACCATTAGCTCCACCTGTTGTGACCCCTGGCTCTTCCTGATGTTAGCCAGCCTGCCCTCTGACCCCACCAGTGCCAGAGGGCAGCAGCTGCCACTGGCAGTAAGGTTATCTGTCAGTGATGCTTTTTGATAGGTGATTATGAGAGGCAGGAGAAGAAACTGGTGTGTGTGTTTGTGTGTAAGTAAAAAAATTCAACAAACAAATTTATCTTGGCCTTAGGGCACAATGTATGAAGAGTGCCTCCAGATTACTCTCATTTTCCATCTTTCTGAATCATTTTGATAACTGATGCAGGAGAGCTGAGTCTGAGCAACACATATTCCAAGACAATTGCAAGCTCTCAATTCTGAAGATGGTTTGTATTCTCAGGCTACATTGAACGTCCAAAAAAATTACAGTCTCCTTTAGATAAAGGATATTGCATGGTATTGCCTCAAACCCTGGAAAGCATTTGTTTGAAAGAAGAATAAGCAACAGGGTGAAAGGATCTTCATTCAGAAGATCACCGAAAAGTTCATAATAATCAGATCAGAACAGGACGCAGTGTTTTAAAAAAAATACTGTTTGTAGAGATGACATCCCAAGGAAGAAAGCATTCATTCTGTATTTCTAGATTGCTTCTCAAAAACTGCTGCCAAGGAGATCAATACTATCTAACAACCACACATAGGAATTAATATAATTGTAAATAAGATAAACCATTAATTAAAGTAACAAGAGCTGCAGAAAATAATCTTATCAGGGACTAACTTCAAAAAGCAGAATGGAATAATGGCGTGATAATCACCTGTTTTGGAAATGAAATGAGGGTTTGTGAAAATGGACAGCATATGGAGGACCCACTACTCTGAACCCTCATTCTTGTGAGGATCAATCTGTCATCCACACAGGGTTTTTTTTCCAGCCAGAACCCACCACAACTCAGTTCTGGCACCTCTCAGGTGGGTGCCCTTGCCATTATCAGAGAACAAGGGGGCGTTCATGGTCGGTTCTGGCACCTCTTTTTCTAGAAAAATATCACTGTGTCCACATAATACAGTCCCTGAAGCAGCAGTTATTTAGCAGACCTCAGACTTGGAGGGAACGGGGTTCATACAGAGAGCTTTGCATCAAACAGTTAATGTGCTCTTATCTTGGCAGGAAATGGGTAACATTCACCTTAATAAGCCTGGTGTGTCGTGAGCCATTCAGACTTCAGAGGCTTAACATATTGCAGACATTGCCCCCCTGCCAGCCAGCCAGCTCCCCCCCCCGCAAGCGATCTACCTCAGTGTCTTGTGTCCAGAATAGCATGTCTGCCTGTAAATCACAGGTGCTGCAATAGGTTGTAGTAGTGATGCTGTTCTGAACATCAGTCAATCCCTTGGTGTTTGACGTTATTGTAATGGAGTTGGCAGAAAGGTGAATGTCTACCACATGCGTGACTTTCATGTCTTCAAAGAGCCTTTAGCCAGCCAGGAATATTATGTTCTCAGTCTCTTGAGGAAAATAAACAAGCCCATGTCACTCACCTCTGGATCTCATCTGTAGGTTTCTTCTTCTTCTGTTGGCAAAGCAGATTTGTGTATTAATTGAGGCTCTTACCTCTAACAAGATGCAGAGCTCTGTGGTATCTTTGAAGAACCGTAGGATGGTCTGCGTGGCCATTCCCCCTCTCTTTTTTGTATAGAACTGATGTCTAACGGATGAGCGCAGGTGGAGGAATTCATTCTAGCGTAGCAAGTTTTGTAGATAGCTAAGAAATTTTCCCTCTTTCCTGCCATATGTGTGCTCTGCCTAACACAATCAGTTATTCCTCTTGTTCATCATCCCATAGCTATCACCTCTCTCTCCCTATCTTTATGCAATGTAACACCTTGTGCACATTCTTTTATAATAATAATAATTTATTATTTATACCCCACCCACCTGGTTGGGTTTCCCCAGCCATTCAGGGCAGCTTTCAACAGGATATTAAAAACACAATAAAACATCAAACATTTAAAACTTCCCTAAACAGGTCTGTTTTCAGATGTTTTCTAAGAGTAAAGGTAAAGGTAAAGGTAAAGGGACTATTAGGTCCAGTCACGGACAACTCTGGGGTTGCGGCACTCATCTCGCTTTATTGGCCGAGGGAGCCGGTTCATGTGGCCAGCATGACTAAGCTGCTTCTGGTGAACCAGTGCAGCGCACGGAAACGCCGTTTACCTTCCTGCCAGAGCGGTACTTTTTATCTACTTGCACTTTGACGTGCTTTCAAACTGTTAGGTTGGCAGGAACAGGGACAGAGCAATGGGAGTTCACCCCGTTGTGGGGATTCGAACCGTCAACCTTCTGATCGGCAAGCCCTAGGCTCTGTGGATTAAGGTAGTTCTTTATTTCCTTGACATCTGATGGGAGGGTGTTCCACAGGGCGAGCGCCACTACCAAGAAGGCCCTCTGCCTGGTTCCCTGTAGCTTCATGTCTCGCAGTGAGGGAACTGCCAAAGGCGCTTCGAGCTGGATCTCAGTGTCCAGGCTGAACGATGTGGGTGGAGACGCTCCTTCAGGTATACTGGGCCAAGGCTGTTATAGACTGTGGTCAGATCCTGTGCAGCATACAGGGCGTTGCACTTTTCCAGAGTTTGAAAAGCAGGGAAAGCTATCTATTCAATAATTAATGTGAACAGTCTAACTGCACCTGTACATGTCTTTACATGAGTCCCGCATGTGCTCTGTGTATTTTAATAATTTGTAACAATGTGGGATCCTTCAAGAAACCGAAAAATGCCATTCATGAGGATACATTCTTGCACCTGGAAAAATATACTAATTGCCTTGCTAAGTTGTACCACTGAGTTTTTATATGAAAGGAAAGAGGGGCATTTGTGGAGAATAGTATTGAATGAGATTGTTTTACGTAGGCTATTCTAAAGGTTAGATAAGGAGCATTTGGTTTCCTCTGGTGTTTACACACCTATGCTTATTTCTTTGTAAAGAGTAGGAAGCCAAATATGGCATGTATTAGGAGCTGGCATATAATTCAGGAACTGGGATATAATAGGCTTGCAGTGGCGTCAACGTTTTATGTATTTTTGTTGTAAACAGCTTTGATGTATTTTATGAAATAGCAGTGTATAAATAAATAAATGTGTTGGAGGGGGGTTATTGAGTTGTTTGTTTTTGTTTTGATTATGTATTTTGTGTTTCTTATATTGTGATTTTAGCTTGTGAACCTCCCTGAGACCTGCGGGAATAGGGCGTTATACAAATTCAATTTAACAACAATAATTCCTGAAGCAACAGTAATGTTGCTCTGTCATTTTGCTTTCTGGCTTTAGTTGTGACGGTAACTCAGGTTGATTAAAAATAAACCCTTCGATGAAAGATTTTGGCAGAAAAGCCAAGTGTTCCCCATATTGGTTAAAATAATAATAAACTGAATATTTGACCATTTGCTGCTCTTTAGTGGTACTCCAAAATCTGGTGCGTTCCCTCTCTTTCCCCTCACCCTGTCTCTAGTCATTTGTGTGAATCAGATGTGTTTTATGTGGTGAATTTTGTTTTGGGTCGTTAAATATGAAATTGAAGTAAACATTGTGATAGAACCTATTTGTGTTTGTAGGGTGCTGTGTTAACGCCAACAATGGACCACACAATGTCCATGCAGCCAGCAAGTATGATGGGCCCCTTGACACAACAGATGAATCACCTTTCTTTGGGCACAACAGGAACGGTAAGCTTAAATAATATGCTTCAAATTCTCTCTCTCTTTTTTACTACTTTCTAGAATCTCAAGGTCGTTTTCCAGTTAATCAATATGTTTATATTTAATACTAGAACATTTCCTAACATAGCTAAAAAAACTTGTGTCTTTCTATAGCGTTTTTAAAAATAAATTTCTAATTGCAGTATGACGTCAAATGAAGAGAACAAAGTAAAATTTCTACTTGATGTAACATTGGAGAGCAATGAATAGGAACGTCATTTTAATAATAAAATTTAAAAACTAGCTGAACCCAATTGGATCCATACTATGTTTCTTTTTTAGAAAAGAAAACATCTCCCCTCCCTATAATTTTCTTGACTAAAATCATTTGCAGACACTGCTATTCCTCCCCCAGGCAAAAACACGCAGAAATCTTTATGATGCTTGGGAATTTTTCAGTATTTGGTTAATAATAATTCTTCTACTGTAGAAGTATCCAGTTGACAAGTAATGCAGCCATGTGGATTCCCTGAGCGAAGATCGTTCCTCCCCGCCTAGTTCTGCTGCTGTGACGCTACCTAGGGCTAAGCCATAGTTTAGTTTACATCCAAATCCAGGTTCATGATTTGTCTCATCCCAGACAAACCACAGGTTGTGAACAGAGTATGTTTTTGGTTTACCACTCATGGTTTGGGGGAGTCAAACCATAAAATTGGGTTTGGACATAACACTAAACTAAACCTGGATAGTACCATAGCAAAAAAACCAAGAGAGGAACATTCCAGCTACTATATTTGCTTTGGGAATCCAAATTTTTACTTGTTCACGCTAAGTCATGGTTTGGGTTAGTGTTTTTCAGTCGAGAATTAGTAAGTATAATAACCAGAAATGACATGTCCAGTGTAACCAGTTACAGAACTCCCTCTCACATTATCTTAGCTTTTGTTACAATTTCATTCTCACTGTGAGGCCTAGGTTGTGTCATGAATTTAGAATACCATGTGCCTCCATTCAAAAAATGATAACAGTCATGAAGTAAAAAGTATGTTATAGACACACACACACACACACACACCACCCATAAATTGTTTAAGTAGGTCATAAAAAACAATAATCAGTAAGACAACAGCAGAAAACAATAAACAGCACTGCTAAAACAATTTTCCGCCTTTATTTTGCCTCTTTCCAGCCTATAAGATTTGATTCAGAATACTTATGTTTACAGATGAAGATTTCTTTTAACTAAAAACAAAAATGTCTTTTTTTCTTTATTATATATATAGGTGTGTGTGTGTGTGTGTGTGTGTGTGTGTGTGTGTATATATATATATATATATATGTATGTATATATGTATAAGTCAGTCATGAACGTAGTGATTTTCTTGTCTTTTCGAGTCTTTTTTTTTTTTGTACATGTGTTGTCAGTTCGTTCGTTAACAAGTTCCAGAGTAATGAATGAATCTTTATTTGTGTCAGCCAATGGCCATAGCAATAAAACAACAATATGATATTCAAATAATAGAAATAAAAAGTCTATTATATAAAATACATTTTAGGGTTTTGGTGAGTTACGGATCACAAACAAGTCTGCATCTTGCAATACATTGCAACCGTAAGCCACGTAGCAGTCACCCTGAACCATTTAAAGTAATGCGTGTTATAGGGAGTTCTGAAGGCCACTTCAAAGAGTTCCATATTTATATTTCCATATATGGAAATCCGGACCAAAAGTTTTTTACATATTACATGCATGTTTCAAAATGCAGTTCTTGTTGTATGCTGTATATTAACTTCTTTCCGGGATACGCTGCTGCGTAAATTTTTATGATGGCATTAAATTCTAACCCCAAATTCTTTATTGGAAGGTCTACTATTTAGAAGTATTGAAATCGTTTCAAGATGTGAAAGAAGCATTCCATTTGTTTAGATAGAAGTTGTAGTTTTAATTTCCTTTAAACGCTTCAAGTCAGGAAATACAGGCAACAGAAGTGGGTCTTGAGCATTTCCCCTACTTCTCGTTTTGCCTTCACACATTCAGTTTATTGACTGGAGGGATGCTGCAGTGGCTAGTAAGCTTTTATACAGACATTACATTGGAGAGCTGAGAATTTATTAAGCGTAGAGCAGGCATAGACAAACTCGGCCCTCCAGAAAATTTTGGGACTGCAACTCCCATCATCCCTGACCACTGGTCCTGTTAGCTAGGGATGATGGGAGTTGTAGTCCCAAAACATCTGGAGGGCCGAGTTTGCCTATGCCTGGCATAGAGGTTGCAGGGTGTGTGTTTTTAATTGCCAACTTGTACAATAGTTTTGATTATCGGCTAATATGGTTTCGCCAGTAACTTGAACACAAAAGTGAAGGACAGGACATGTGTGATGAAAGGAGCCACTCCCCTGTAGTAGTAATAATCATAATAATCATAATAATTTATTTATACCCCGCCCATTTGGCTGGGTATCCCCAGCCACTCTATGCGGCTTCCAACAAAAGATTAAAATACATTAAAACATCAGTCGTTAAAAACTTCCCTAAACAGGGCTGCCTTCAGATGTCTTCTAAAAGTCAGATAGTTGTTAATTTCTTTGACATCTGCTGGGAGGGCGTTCCACAGGGTGGGCGCCACTACCCTGTGGGTTAAATAGCAGCTTCAGGAGAGGGTGTTTGGTCAAACCCCACAAGTACCTATTATATTCTTCCCTTTGCCGCCCGCTGCTATTCATTCCTTCATTCCTTCATTTTCATTCTAGTTTGGTCCACCAACCCTGTGCAGATAAAAGCTTAATTAACATTTGACAACATGCTCTGTAAGAGTCGCTCTTAACTACAGCAGTGCAGAGTGTTTCGCAGGAGTATATCTCCAGCAGTATTCTACAGAATTGTAGAGTTGGAAGGGATCCCAGTGGTCACTTAGCCCAACATCCTTGCAAGGCAGGCTCTTTTTGCCCAGCGTGCGGCTCATACCCACACCCCACGATTAAGAGTATCATGCTCTACCAACTATTTGTGCTACTGTTGAAATGATGTTTCTCTCCTCTCTATCTCACATCAACCTAGGCCTAACAGGAACTGAGAGGTAGATTCGCCACCAAATTTTGCCTAAAGAAAAATACTCATGTGAATTTTGCGAATCCCAACATGGGTGAATTTCTGTGAACGTTCAGGGAATTGAAAATGCAACTTTGATTTCATTTCTCGGGGTCAGGGGTTGCGCATCTCTACAGCTGCGCAGGGCAAGTCAATGGTTGAGGCACCAGTGTCATGGTTGAGGTGGAACGTAGAGTTGACAGAAGAGAATTTGTTGTATCCTTAGCCAGTTCTAAGGTAGTGCTGTCCAGACCTGTGAGTCGCTTTGCCTGTGCATTCGATTGAGTCTTCACAAAGTGCTCTAAGTGTCACATAGTACAATTACTTTTAACAAATTCTGTCCACTATAAATCACTACTTTTCAATTAACCTACAGTGAAAGATAACTCACATGCTTACGACAGTTACATAATTGACATCATGAAAATGACTTAACCCAGTGGTACTCAAACATTTTTCTCCAGGCAACACTTTCAAAATAAAAATTCGTTTGCGCCACACCCAATTTTTAATTGGTAAGAAATACACTGAAAAACAAAAAGAAATAACTCCTAGCAATGCTTGATTTTGAAGAGATATCTGCCCATATTCTACAAATAAATACTTTTTTACTATAATCTACGCTACGCTACACGACACAACACTACACCATACCATACCATACCATACCATACCATACCATACCATACCATACTGAAATGTTTAAATATTTCTTTGAATGTCCTTTCATAACTTCTAATTTAACCCATCAACCTCTAAAAGCCTCCTAAACTCACTTTTGTTGTATATACTTTGCCATTTTGAACATTGCATTTAGAGGGGATGGTGTTGGTCACAGATGTTATACTAAATAAATAAATAAATAGCTGCGTTCTGTAGCCATCTTGAGCTTTGTTCTTGCCGTTGTTCACTGACATCTGAAATTTGCATTAGCTGAGCACAGAACCACATACAGTTAAGTCATAAAGCTGTCTTCTACCATTTATAGCAATGAAAGATTCTATAAATACGTTAGATTGAGACACTCATGTTGCTGCAGTTGCACTCCTCTGTATACCAAAGGAGACCTTTTGAGAATCTGATTTTCACCTTAAACTCGGGGTTCTTCCCTTCCACGCCAATGAGCCTAGAGCTGAGTCTGCAGCTTAGACTGAGAGCTGCTACCAATAAAAAAGCAGCATGGAATAATTCCAAACATCTTAAAATAACCAAACATCGCAGGGAATTTTATGGGGCCTCCCCTTTTTAAACTACGGACTTCAGGAATAATGTTTCGAGATTTCGACCTACAGGGAGCTTTTTCTAAGCAAAAATGCATTCTCTGTTAATACGTCTGCAAGAAGCTCGCTGACCCTTTCCCTGTGATTATTTTCTCAGCAGGCTGTAGTCTTTATCAATAGTTTGGGATTAATTACTTTGAGCCAGTTTCTATATAATTCAGAAAAGCCCTACTCTGTCTTGCAGAGCTGAGTCTTTTCGGGGCACTGCAATCCATATGACTCCAGCCAGATGAGGAAAAGAATGTGACTGTAATTATCTCAACAGGATCACATTTTATGGCAGATACAAAGCACAAACAATAAATTTCCACTGTGCTCACACTTCTAATGTTGTCCTTTAAAAATCTGCAAGAGGGTGCTATAAAGGACCATTGGCTACCTTTCAACAAGCTGTTTTCAACAAACAAGCCAGAAAGTAATGAACTATTCTGCGTCATTAGTATCTGCTGCATTCTGTCCCAGATTAATTTAAAAGCTTGCAATATGCAAACTACTTTTATCAAAAGGCATTCATACATTCACTTCCTTTGACAAACCATTTTGTTAATCAGCATAGCATATGTTTCAGCCAAAAACTGCCCTCCTCAGGGTTTCCTTCCTAGCAATTTGGCCGGGAGTGTACTAACAAACACAGGGTAGGCTAATGATACAATACAGACT